ACTTGCACAGTCTCGGTGACATTCAAAGTCACATGGAAGTGTCACCTCAACGACCTGTTCTTTACTGAAGTCGGATCAATGAAGCATGGTTTCGAGGAGTACTACGTTGTAGGGTAGAAGCAAGCTAATTTTCTGTGGAACCGCCGTCATTCTTCCCAGGTTTGTTTTGACCCCAGGCCTGGACTACCAACACCGCGGACGGGAGGTGGGGGGCGATGTCCCCCATAGTTAGATAGATAATTTTTATTAAATACTCGTCGGGGTCCCATCAAAGCAAGTTAAAATAAATTTGCATGCGAGTTTTAGACGAGGTAGGCCGAATCTTTACAAAATGCAATTCATAGTTTCCAAATTAGAAGTCCATTGAGAAATATGATGATTGAGGGGTTAAAAAAATCTCCTTGGAAAAAGTTTAAAATGATTGGATTAATTTTACAGGAGAAAAAAACCCCTCTTTAAAAATAATAACAGAAAAAAGCGAGCAGGACTGGCCTGTAAGTGGCGGTATATAACGGAATGTTTTCGGTCATCGTCAGGGTATCAATAAATGTCCGCCTTGATGGGTACGAATGTGGATCAGACAGGACTGGCCTGCAAATGGCATTGTATGCGGGATTCTCAATTGAGATCGTCTGGGCCGGATTGGTACGCCGCGTCAAAGAGGCCGGACGAGAGGAACCGAGATGCGATCGGCCACAGCACGCTTCGAGCTCAGCCGAGCAGTGAGGAAGGGAGGTACGACCGAACTACTAGTAAACAGTGAAGACTGAGGGTTCCGCCGTGAGTGTCGACAGACCGCATGAGGTCGGAATGCGGGAGATGACATCAAAAACCGCGAAAATTGTCGCTATGGGGGAGAAGGATAGCGATGGACAAGCGATAGTGACAAGACTTTCGCACTGTCGGGGCGTAACCAATAATGTATGTCAGCTTTCATTTCTATATAGCAGCCAAGTGCAATACGGTTGCTACTTTTAGCAATACTAAGGAAGTGATTGACGAGAAATCTGGCCAACCGTTGCAATTCCCGTCGACCTCCCAAAGTCGGTTTGCCACTGACATGCTCCTCCTTCGTCCCTTATCAGGTGCGGTAAAAATGCTGCTTCGGGTTATAGATGACTTGTCTGACCTGCGTCCGATCACCTTGTTCATACTTATCCTAGACTTAAATCCTCTGGACCATAGGCGTCAACTAGTTTTCCAGGTTCGCTTATTTTCGCTTGACGATGAGGGGTAGGATTTTAGAAACTTATGTTCCATCCAGACCGAAATGAAATAAGTGTTAAACATCTCCGGCCACTGCCTCTTGAGTCAGTGAACTATCGGAGACATGACAGAGTAGTTCACTTTCCTAAGCAGTACAGTGCCTCGGTCAAAATTCGTTGCAGTGCTACGTTGCGAGTCGCTGGCGCTCTAGAGATGCGGTTATTAACCTTACGAGGTGCCCTCTCCTGGTCAGGACTGCAGCCTGAAAACCCTAGTCTTTCGAGCGTTTAGGGATAAACCGAACGATCTAGAGACCACATTCATCAGCGACACCGTACACTGTAGATCGTCAAAAGCTTGAAGCTGGCAGGATGATCTCGTTAGCGCAGCCCAGATCAGCCAGCCAGTGTCCGGGTGCAAGCTCAACACCGTTATATTCCTGTAGGGCCCTCTTAAGAATACAGTCAATAGCATAGTTGAACACCAGACCGCATACCGAACGGTTGTCATGGACGAGAACTCGCGCAGTGGTGAAGCGGTAATAGGCTTCCATCATGGCGGCGCACCATCTAGTGTCATTATCCGCCATAGGGTTTCACGATGCACGGGATCGGGCGCGGTGATGAAGTCAACAGAACAGGCGGCCGTCGGCTGTGGGTAGCAATGAAAGAATCTAAGAATGTGTCGCAATGTGCGTATATGTTCCGTGCATCCATGACCAGCACTTGGCTCTCGTCCTAGTCACAAGTCTGGAACCGAATAGAAACAACGGTGAAAACCTTCACAGCAAATTCACCGAAGCCTATGCCGCGGTAGTTCTCGCATTTCGTTTTATCTTCCTTCTTGACGACGGACACAAGGATGTCCGAGCCCCAGTCACTAGGAGCAACCTCGTCTTTCCGCGCTTGTTCAGTCACCTCATTGAGCCAGTGTGGAAAAAAGACTTGTGGATTTCAGCGGGAATACTGTCCTATCGGGATGCCTTGTTGTCGCGCAGATTTGTATTGTATTGGCAGACAATTTGGTAATTTTCGAGTGTCACCAACGTTTGAAGCCTGCTACATAAGGGCCGCTACTTCGGCCCAATATTTCTGCCCTAGTCGATTTTTTCGTCATTTTCCGGAATTGGCAGAAGGGACCATCATTGCGGGACCTAGCTCGAGCCATCTGAGCATACCACTGCGAGATTCTTCTGCTGATCCAGTCACTGCGGCGCCATTGAGTGTACCCGGGAACTTTCTCAGCCGTCCCATAGACTGATAACTTCAATGCTGACTCCTGGCTACTGCATTCCCCGTCAGCTCGGGTCGCAAAGCAGAACCGGATTTCTCGGTTCAATGCCTCGGTGGTGCTGGGTTGTCGGAGTTTTGCAGCATCGAGGTGTCTTACACGTAACACTTTGGGGTAGGATGAGAGGTGAACTTTCAAGCGTATGCAAACAAGAACATGGTCCGACCCATAGGCTTTACCATTTTCAGGACCACGCATCAATCTGTCACGAAGCCAGCTGCGGAACCTTGAACTAACTAGAATGTAGTCGATCTGATTGGTCGTATGACCGTCGTCTAGATACGAGGTCAGCAGAAGTTTCTGGCAATGCTGGTGGCACGCATTGGTGGAAAACTGTCCGTCCTGTTTAGCAAAGTTTAGAAATCCCTCAACATTGTTGCATAGAGAACTAAGCCCAAAGCGACTGATCAAAGAGTCGATAGGTCCAGTTCTACCATTCTAGACCCCGGCAACAATTAGCAGATCAATATGCGGTAGTCTCTCAACTAACGCTTGCAGCTGCAAATGAACTGTATCTGTATCGCGTTGTTCGGCAGCTGATGCTAGTGCGTACGAGCAGACGACAAAGGTGTTCGCAACTCGGCCTTCTAGTCGCACGTAGGCCTTTGACGGTCCCAGGTGAATATTGCACGGTTCGCACGTTGAGGGCGATCACTACACCGTGTCTACCGGAAAAGTCGCGTAGGTCGCTCTAATAAAGAATTAGGCGTAAGTTGGCGCCCAGGATCTTTAATTATTGTATCTGACTTGGAGATTCGGATTGCAGACAAGCAGAGTACATTCACGTTGTGCTGAAGACTGCGCACCGCCAGACTTGGGGTAGCAGTGTCGAGAAACGCTCGCACATTCCAAGACCCTATACCGAGAGTTGGTTCCCTATTAAGTAATTCATCTCACATACCATTCGCCCGCACCACCTATGTAATACTTTTTAACCGATATCACAGTTTATACTTTCGGTTAATGTCCCATAAATTACGCCACCGTACGTGGCCGAATGGTGTCTAAAAGTTTCTAATGACGGTGAGACGTCAACTGCCGCTATCAGAATTAAAGGGTTCTAAGACCGCCTGAAAAGTATTCGTGTATACGGCTTCATCTGGGGAATAATTTGCTTGGGGGACTAACTATATAGGCTAGCCGTAGGGGTTAACTTGAACAAATGGCGAGATCGGCTGTCCAACTTCGGTTGTGTGAAGTCTCTGCCTCGCATAAACGGTTTATGTACAGCTTCTAATTAGGAGTAAGACCTTATCGAACGTCTGGACCATCATGAAATTCCAATAAATACATCCAACACCCTAAACTTCGGCAGGGTCACCCTTAACTACTAAGGTAATGCCGAGTGCCGTCTGAATCTACTTATGAGAAATCACAAGAAGAGTACAGTTGACTTTCAAGGTAAGAACTTTCATGTGCGGACATATGGGTTCGCTACATGTTTCCACAGCTGTGTTCATTTACCTTCTAGTTTTTGGATTGAAATGATAGGAATGTGCTTGACGTGTAAGTATTCCGGATACTCAAGGTATCCAACTTTCCTTGTAGCCACAAAAACCTTGAGGCCCCCTGGCCCAGACATGCAGTTATTTACGTTCGTAGTGTGTCATATCACATTTCTGAAGCACACGGTGCACGAGCTGCGCTGTTGCGATAGTCCCGACCTGGTGATACACAGGTGTGCGATACGCGGTTGACGAAGGCGCCACGTCACGCGAGTCACCGTGCCTGAGGTGACCGTCATTCAGCTCGACTCATACAACGCACCGGTATATGGAAACAAGAGGAGAGAAGCCAAGTAGAGTCAGATCCAGTGCTTAAACACTATAATAAGACGACGTGACGCTCAACTATAGCGCCACGCTGTCGTGACATAGGGGCCCTTCAGATTAACGGCCAGTCAGCACCGGCTCTCTCTTAGTGAACCCTATTTCAACTCCATGGGGTGGAAGGTGTAAGACCTTCATGAAAGTCTGCCGCATGTGCGTGCGAGGATCTGGACGTATAGCGCGTGTATACATGGGGCCAACCACGTTAGACACTGCCCAAGCCAAGTCCTAGTCGGCTCGACCTTGTATTGCCATTGAAACGTTGCGGGAGCTTGAAAATAAATCGACATAGACTGCACAAATCTTCCACTTCACAAGTTTATTTACGTGCAAATCAGCACTGGGACCTGAGGACAGCGATGACTTTTACCGCTTGCGGCGAACGGATCATAGCTGTGTCCGCAGTGACTGACGTTGGAACCATGCCAAGAATAACCTGAACATCACTAACTTACTGAATGAAATCTTTGTAGCAATAAATCCCTCATGTAATGTGTAAAAGTGAAGGTGCTGATATCAAAACTCCAGATGCAAAGCGCGATTAGTAGTAAATAACAAAGAGATCTAGCGTTATAGTGGCGACATAAATAAGTACTTAAAGGGTTTTCTGTTATATAAAAATTTGAGGGACTCGGATGGCAGGCGCCGAATAGGGAAGTATGACAACGGACGAATCTACATTAACAGAGAAAGCCAAGCTATAATAAGTAGGGTTCCTCCGACGGGAGCGATGTTAACGAAACGAAGATCATCCGTCAAGGCGGTGTAGTAGCATGTCCCTGAAAACAAGCCTACACCTGCAAGGAACAAAGAAGTCGACTGACAAGCCTGAGGAAATCTAACAGAATCCTACCAATTTGGGCTGACCACAGTCGGACAAACCAAGAAGAGCTGCAGAATGGATAAGGTGCATATGCGCGCCAGTAGTAAACATGCTACGCCTTTTTTGGTCCTCAGGAGACTTTCCGAATCCTGTAAGTAAGCAGTCGAAACTATTAGCTACCATGGGCCGCATAGGCACAGGCAATAACAGCTAGGGCCCCAGAAACACCAGCTAGCTTGTGCGGAATATCACTCCGAGCGGGGACAAGTACCGTTTCTATTTTGGTAGTAGTTGGAATATAAGCGAGGGGATTGAGGTAATTAAGAGCATATCCAGTTTTGTATATGAAGTCCATGAAGACGGACAACCAGAACACGAAGAGTGAAAACAACCACCCAAAGACCACACACACAAACGAAAAGCACTTCGATCAATTAAAAATGCGGCATCAATGCCACACTATCTAATGTTATTAACAGTTGTCCACCTTCAGGAGCTGGCTTCTGCCAGGAACATTCTACCTTCCTATTAACTGCGATGATCACAATGGGATAATTCCAAACAGCTACGCAATTTCTTCAAGAATTGTTAAGAAGCGGAGCATTCAGGAGATTTTATTTCAATCTCGAAGGAAGTTATTTGAGTTAGCAAACGAAATTATCAGCCGGGCCAAACAATAAATCCGCAGAACTTAATATATCTGAAATAAGCCCATAATTAGCCTGAGAAATGTACAAACGCATTGCGTCAGATGACCAGGCCATTCCAGGAGTTGAATAAGTTCAAGCCTCAGAGTTATTGATTGCGAAAATCTCATGGCGGTTCGACTGTCATGAAAGACGGTGCCCAGCGTGTATTCCAGAACATCGTGCGCGCACCTACGGTGACTTGCATGGGAGTAAGTTTATAGTACGCAGCATCCAAATATCTCCCACTCAGATAGATACCAGCTAACTAACCTAAACTTTTTATTGGTTCGAAGACTATAAGCAGGCTACTGTCTCCTCTTTCGCATTGATAATAGTTCAAGTCTTCCTCGGTTTTTAGCACTTACCCCTAGTAGTCGCCCATGCGATCTTCGCAATTCTTTCCTGATTATCCCTCCTCCAGCTTTCTCCACCTCCAAGCGTTCTCTTTTTTCCGCTTCCAGGTATACTTTCCTCTGGAATAGCCTTCCAATAAATATTAGATCTTCAGACAATCTGCACACTTTCAAGAGGAGGCTCTACCTTTATCTGAATAGTGATTTTCGACTAAACTTTTATTTTCCTCATCCTTCCCGGACAACTTTCTCTGTGACACAGAGAAAAAGCAACCGGGAAGTTAGGACGCCGCCATTAAATTACCGTCTCCGCTCACATTTCCTTCTTTTGTGTGTAGTATGGCTTCCTGGGAATCCCTTATCAGAAATGCTGATTTTGTCGATTTTTCAGTCCATGCATCGTGCCCCTCACAGAATGCGATACTCTTCCTGACAAACTATCTCGAAGAAATAGCTTGGCCAGTTTGACCTGCACGCTCTAAGCCGCCTCAGTCTCGCCGATCACCGGCGCTCATCAGAACTCCACCCTGGCCTCCGCGATTTCGAACTCTCACTCCCCCGTTGTCGAATTTTGCGGTTCTTGGGGTCATGTCCTCATCTTCGACTGAAGCAGTCTGTCGACGTTTTGGCGGAATTCTCTGTATTCGCTACCTACTAGTAGTTTTGTCGCATCGCCCATGCCCCCTCCTCGGCTGGATTCGAAACTGACTGTGACCGGTCGCGTTTGGGTTCCTCTCTTCTCGCCACTTTGACGGGAATGGCCTCACCAGGCATATGAAGTCTGCCATTGTGATGTGCATTTCGAACCCTTTACTCATTACCGCAAGCAGGCCAGTCCTGTCTGACCCGCATACTTACCCCTTAGTGAAATCCGTTATAAACTGCCACATGCAGGCCGGTCCTGCCGCTTTTTAGCCTTTCATGAGCGACAGTTACTGCTAATCCAGTCAAATTTATTTTTTTATTCGATAGTGGAGTTTTTTTCACTGCTCGCTCATCTTTCTTCGTTACATGCTACTTATTCAATAACTATGAATTAAGTATTGAATAGATTCTGTCTACCTGTTTTAAAATTCGTATGAAAATTTATTCTTACTTGCTATGACTGGACCTCCACGGCTCTTGGGTAAAAATTACTGATTTATTTATTTTATTTATTTGTATACCTCGCTCTCTTCCCCCTCTCCCACCTAAGCCTGGTGTCAGTACAGAAACATGAAACAAAGGGGCGGCATCGGGCACTGTCAAGACTAAGCAGCCAGTCGGTGCGCGTCACGTATTCTCTGGTCCGTGCATGACGAACCAGGATTTCACAGAAACAAGAAAGGGTCGGTTAAGACTCCATCTAAATAATAGTGCCATAAGTCCCAAATGAGGAGGATGCCATTGCAACCGGACCCTCCATTTTAGCGGAGAATCGAGTTATCCCACCGGTTGACAGCCTCCAAAGTCACAGCTTCTGACAAACTGCGGACGTTTGAAAGCGCGTCAGATTGTTTATAGTGAGCTATATGTGCTGTGTCGTGTAGAATATGTCCTTATGGCTGTTCTCACTCCCTTTCCCACCCTCATTCATCAGTCCACTGTTCGAGCCGGTTAACCATCTGATGCGCATATCTGGCGCAGTTGGCTGACAGACCTAAATATCCCGTCTGCGCGAGCGACACAATACTTGCCTCCGCGTAACCTACCTGCTTTTCACAGAAGGAGGTTATGCGGCCCACATCTCACATGATTTATAGCACCGTAGCCGGGGAGCCGGCCAAGAACCCCCAAATTACGTGAGGGTGCGCATCCCACGCCTGCGGTGGATGACGTGGGACGAGTTCACTTGCGATGTTTTTACTGGTAGGGAGATGAGTGAAGATGAAGTTTAGTCTGCGGTTGGGGCGCCTGTAGCTGAATAGGCTTGCATGGTAAGGGAGTGTCTGTGGGTAATGTGGACTGTTGAGACGTTCGCAACGAGTGCGTGTTTGTAATCCTGGCACTGGCTCGATAGTATCAGTGCGAGTGACGACAAAGTGCCTGATGTGAAGATCCGGTAGCACTGGGGAAGGCTGGTTTCAAATTTAAAAGATAAATGAGAGATACTATTTCTAAGTGTTTTTCCAAGAAACACAGACATTCCAGTCTTTGTTTTTTATTGAATTTTTTAAATACATACCTATTCCTTTCTGGGTTTTGCTAGTCCGTGCCTGTTGACTACAGGTCGCAATTTGCAAATCGCAGTTTGTGCACTCGGTTTCTCTCCAACTGTATACATTTTTACACCGCTAGCCTCTCGCTGAAATTCGACCACCTTATCTGTCAGAAGTTTACTTAATCGCAATTTGCCCCGAGACAAGATAACAGCGAGAGTTACCGGTCAGCGAAAGCTCTCGGCTTCTGTACCTTAGCATGGCTCAACTAAATCTACGTCGGAAGACATTACTAGCCATTCGTCACCCGGTGTTACTGATAGGTAACTTAAGCTGCCTTCACTTTACAACTTCAACAATTGTATACTACAGTTTAGCACTATGCTCTCAATTCTGGGAAAATTGTTCAACGGGAACATCTCCAATGTTCACTGTAAAGAATGCAAACGTCTTTACTTACTCGTTCAAATGATCGCCAGTGAATCTAATGACAGACGAAAAGGGCTTACAACTTCTTGTTGAAAAGTGTTCCTCGATCTGCACGGCCAGTTGAGGTTGCGATGGATTTCCTGTTCTCGTGTGGATTCAACACGGCGGCGGCGGATTCCTAAGCAATAATAATAATAATTTTATTGAATGGCAGTTTACGGGCATTGTCAGGAAAAGATTAAGCACACATTCGTCCAGCAGTGGAAACAAATTCTGATAAAAAAATAAAGAGGATTGTGGTTTTGTATAATCCGGAGCGTTCATGAGAAAAAAGTGCTGACAGGAAATGACAACAGACAAGAAACGGGAGGGTAGCACTGCATCAAAGATTATCAGTCGCCATTTCTTTTCACGAGGCTGGGGCTGGACCAAATAAAAACATTGAAGAACAGCTGTTGTTGTTGGCTAAAGAAGTTGTCCATGGGGAGACCGGCCATGGGGATCAGAGACCACAAACGCCATCGCTACGGTATATTCGATCAGTGGATTCAGCACCCAAAATTTGTGGGAGTTTCTCTGAATGCAAAACGAGTCATAGTTCTCTTAAACAAAAATAATTTTGCAGAATTTCCACATTCCTGGGTAATTTATTCCAAATAGCAATTACGTTCTCAGAAAAGAACCGTCGATATTGAACAGTACGTGCCAGAGGAAGAAATAAAAAGACCTTAAGGTGATTGTTACATCGGCAGTGGACAAGATGTTTCAAAGTAGTGAGCGGGTCAAAGGTACGATTACATAACAGCTAAAATAGTAAAAATAGTCCCTTTTGTAGTCTGTGAAACCACAATGGATCAAGGCCTGTAAGCCGGCAACGCACTTGCCAAGACAGATTCCGGTGTTCCGGGGTTGAAACTCTCATAATAAAAAAGATGTTGGACGAATTCTATTCTCTTGCGTTCAGCGGCATGCATGGGGCTGAATAAAAACGAACAGTATCCCAGGACAAGGCTATCGTACATGTTATAAAGGGGCATTCTAATGTCGTTAATTTTAAAGTCTCGGAGGATAAACTCGATCGTTCTACGTGCTTTGGTGACTATCAGGGCGCAGTCCTCCGAAAGATTAAGACTCTTGGAGTATGATACACCCATATCTTTAATAACTCTAGGCATATTTATGTCTCCACCGTCAATGCTTAGTTTAGGTTGGCGGTCGTTGTCAACCAGCATAACTCAGAAATTATGCCAAGAAAGATAGAGTCGCCATGTGCGGCACCACTGGGCAAAGGCCTGTAGATCTTTTTTTAGGAGCTGGAGCACGATGTCACTATCTGCTGGCTTATATCGATATGCAACTTTCAGGTCATTGACATACATGAATGGCTTACCATTCTCAAATAAATCTGGTACATCGTTAACAAAAAGGCAAAATAAAGGCGGGCTGAGTATACTAACCTGAATGACTCCACTCGTCACACATGGGGGGTTGGAGATAGCATTGGAAATCTTGGCTCGTTGTGTGCGAGCGCCCAAGTAAGAGGATATAAAATTCGAAAATTCCTCACCGTTTCCGAAGGAGGACAATTTCAAGAGAAGAGGGGCATGGTCAACATGGTCGAAAGCCTTAGTGAAAGCGAAATATACTGTGTCAAGTGCATTACCATTGTCCCTCGATTGTAGAACATAGTCAAATGTCCGAAGGTGCTTTTTTAAAATTATAGAGAATTCTTCTCAGGCATAAGAA